TGAACATCCTCTTTCCGTTGGAATTTGTTCCCGTGGCAAGGTCGGTCGCTTCGCTGATGCAGATCTCCATAACCATCTCCAGCGTGCAGCCCAAATAAGGAAAGTCTTATCAGCTGTGACAGAGATTACAAAAGGGAATATAACAGGTAGACGAAAATTATTTAATGTTCCATCTACGACGAGAACATTGTTAAGACATCAGAGATATTCCTTAAATGATAGTCTATAATGGTCTATAATCTCGAAGGTAGTAGATTACTATAGCAAGAGAACGCATAGGGTTGTGTTTTGTGCAGTAACAAAATCATTACCTTAAAAAGCCCTTTGTGTTCTGTATCACCAACCCAGTTTATGAAAGCTAATCGGTGAAAATAGAATATCGTCTTTCCATGATGAGTCAAATTATATTTCCTCTTTCTTTTCTTTCTTTTTATATAAGAAATAATAAGAAAGCTATTCAAAGACTGTAATACTGGGGTGCAGCCTTTCAGATATGTCTGACTGATGGTCCTCTTAATTCAATAATTTCAATCAAATTGAGTGTGATACATGTCTGTAGATAGAGAGGCAGATAGATATAACTATAGATTGATAGACAACTTAAGTAAGACTGCATGTGTATATGCGTACACACACACACACACACACACACACACACACACACACACACACACACACACACACACATATATATATATATATATATGTGTGTGTGTGTGTGTGTGTGTGTGTGTGTGTGTGTGTGTGTGTGTGTGTGTGTAAATAGATTGATAGACAACTTAAGTAAGACTGCCTGTGTATATGCGTACACACACATACATATATATGTGTATGTGTATATATAAATATATATATTATAGATATCCATCGATATATAGCTTATGCATGCATGTATACGTGCATGTGCGTGTGGTTATATATGTAAATAGACATACATATATATATGTATATATCTATATCTATGTGTGTACGCATGTGTATGTATATATGTATATATTTATTTATCTATTCGTATATAAGTATGTATGTATGCATCTATGCATGTATAAGCAAAATCTATAAAGAGATCTGTAGCGCAGCTCTTCAAGCACATTCAGTTTATTTCCCAATGAAGTCCCTCTGAAATCAAAAGTTCACCCCGGTAAAGGCTGAGGTATCTTTGCCAAGCCTGTTTGAGAGCATATACATTGCTGCTTGACTAAACTTTTTCAAATTAAATGTTTATTGCTCTCCTACTCTTTTTACATACATAGACATATATTGATATATGTATAATAAACATTTATAAAGTAATACGAATAGGCATATCTCAGAATACCGGAAAAATGCACATCACATCGTGACATTTTTATGGTATACGTCATGTATCTTTCTTGAAGAATCAGTTTTAGTAAAAAAAAAAATATGTCCTGTATTCGGATATATATATATATATATATATATTATATATATATATATATATATATATATATATATATATATATATATATATACATACATATATTTATTTATTTATTAAAACAACTGGAATTTCATTATATATGAGATTTTTCATTGAATAGGAGGTAGTTTTTTGAGTCAAAGAATCAGTTTCAAAGTTTCATTTTATTATAGAAAAGTCTTTTAAATATTGACAATTTTCGTTGTACTTTTCCTACTCAAGGAATATTTCTTAGGCATGATAGGTGGGAACAACTGGGGCATGATATGTAGGCTCAGGGGCTTGGTAAGCCTTGGCAGGGGCGTGGTGAGGGGCGGCTGCATTTATATATATATATAATATATATATATATATATATATATATATATATATATATATATATATATATACATAAACATTTATATAATGCACACATATCCAGTGGAGGAGCCACGGGGGGGAATGGGGTGGGTCCGGATCCCCCAGTTTTCCAAAAGATAGTCCACGAGATTTCTCAAGAAGAAAGAAAGAAAGAAAAAAGTTGAGGGGGGGTGGGGGGTGTAAAGGACTTGCCAAAGTTGTCAAAGTTATAAAATTCTACTTCCTTACGAGTTTGATTTTGGCAATGAGTATTCTGCACGTGCTTAAACCACATGTAACGTTACGCCGTTAGTTCAACATTGAGACTACATTGGACCCCCCCCTCCTCCCACCCTTTTTGAGGCTGGCTCCGTCGCTGCACATATCTCTCTTTCTCTTTCTCTCTCTCTCTCTCTCTCTCTCTCTCTCTCTTCTCTCTATATATATATATATATATATATATATATAGATAGATAGATAGATAGATAGATATAGATAAGTATATCTATTTATATGTATATATGAAATACAAACACACACACACACACACACACACATATATGTGTGTGTGCGTTTGTGTGGATGTGTTTATATATATATATGAATGTGTATATATGTATATATATATTATATATATATATATATATATATATATATATATATATATATATATATATATATATATATATATATATTATATATATATATATATGTGTGTGTGTGTTGTGTGTTATGTGTGTGTGTGTGTGTGTACCTATGTGTATGTATGAATATATAAAAGTATGTATGTGTTAGCAGTTTATAAGAAGACCTTTTCCATGAAGCTCTCTAAGCATATCCGGTTGAATCCCATAGGAAATCCCTCTCAAATCAAGTGGTCATCCAGATAGAGGCTTTTTTCCTCAAGCATGTTTTATGCACGTAAATTGCTAGTTTACTTAATTTTTTAAATGCACCCTATCGTTCTCTGGCTCTTTCCACATACACATATACATTTATATATGTGTGTGTGTGTGAGTGAACCTTTTTGAATAAAAGAAATGAGATAAATGGATAACCATATGTGCAGTGTACCTAAAAACGCACATCACATCATGGCATTTTTGTCAAAGGTACGTCTTGTATCTTTCTTGAAGGATCGGTTTCAGTGAAAAGGTATCTTACATTACGAAATGTCATATTATGTATTAGAGGAACAGGAATTCCTTTTCCTTAACGGGACTCTGATGAATATACGGTTGCTTGTGAAAGAATCAGTTTCAAAGTTTCATTTTATTATAGAAAAGTCTTTTAAATATTGACGATTTTCATTGTACTTTTCTTACAAGAAAATGCATTTAGTCTTAGATATGATAGGTGGGTACAATTGGGGCGTGATATGCAGGCTCAGGGGCGTGATATGTTGGCTCGGGGGCGTGGTAAGCCTTGACAGGGGCGGCTGCGTGGGCGTCGTAGTGGGGCGTCCCCTCGTAGGAGACGGTGGGGTGGTAGCCAGTCTCGTCGGCGTAGTAAGTGACGGTCTGGACGCGGCCGTCGGGGAGGTGCACGAAGTACTTGCCCTCCGTCTTGTAGCCGTCGCGAGCCTCCGAGTGGCCGAAGTGGGTGCCGGCGTAGTCGTCGTGGACGGCGTGCTCGAAGGCGTAGTGTGGAGGCGTCTGAAGAGAGTGGAGAATCACCAAGGTTTTATCAGGACGCAGTTTTAGTCTTATATGGAGGCGTCATTGTCCTATATAAAAAATCTTTCCCAAATTCAAGAAAATGTAAAATTGAGATCCAAAACTACGATTATCAATACACTAACAGTAGGAAGACTTACATCAGGATAAACAGGAGCATATCCCTTTCCATTGGGGCAGCATGGGTAGCATGTGTAGGGGCAGCATGGTGCAAGCATGCACTGGGGTAGCATGGTGTACAGGGGCTACATGATGTA